TTAAGATTTTTATTGCATTTTAATTTTTAATATTTTTTGAGTATAGTAAATATAATGCAATAAAATATTAATTTAGTTAAATAATTTAAATAATTCTAAAATCATTAAATTTTTTTTTTTTTTATCCCTTTTCCTTAAATTGTAAAAATTTGCTATCAAATTTTCTTAGTTATTTACTTTAAATTTCCTTCTTATTAAATTTATGAATAGTTATAATTTTTTTAAGAAATTATTTTTAAATTAATTTTATAAATATATATTATTCATAGTAATTTTTATTTTTTGATTATATAATAATTTTTATATTAAAAACTTTGTCATTAATCTTATTATTTACTTTTAGTAATATTAATTATAATAAATATTAAAATTTATCATGAAAATTAACTATAATGACTAAAAAATTATATAATATTTATTGATAGTAAGTGATTTAATTAGTTTGTAAATATATGTATTTTAAAAATATTATTATAACATAATTTTAAAAATTGAACTTAAAAACTTTTTAACAAACTTAAATAACTTGATAATATATATATTAAACTATATATTTTATATGACAATAATTAATAATGAGCATAATAAATAATTTTAAAAATATTTCAATTAAAATTGCATGATAAATATTGCATAACAAATTAGATTTTTCAAAAAAGCCATAATAAAATAGGACAAAATTTCAAAGACAATTATCTAAGAATATTTACCTTCATTTAATACCTTTATAATACCTATTTTATTTATAACATACAATCTAATAAATTTATATAAAACAAAATTTTTACAAATTTATTTACTTTCTATTTCAAATCTAAATTTTGTAATCTATTAATTAAAAATAAATATAAAACAAAAAAATGTTTTTATAGTATTTGAAAAAATTTTAACCTATTCACAATACAATAATTATGACTTCTCCTCTTCTTTTATTGTTCAATCTGCTTAATATTCATTTTAAAATTTGAGGTTTAGAACATATAATATCATTAAAAGGTGTGTTAATATAAGGCATAATTTCTTTATGTAATTCCTTTTGACTTTTTAAAGAAAGTTGTTTAATATTAATTGTAGTGTTAGTAATTTTATTTAAATTAATAATGCATTGTAACAATATTAACGATAATTTTTTAATAATAAATATATATTTTCAATAAAAAATGTATTTACAATAATAATTAACAAAAAAATATTAATCTATTTATTTACAATAATAAATTAAACGGTGTTAGCCGCAGTTTATACTGTGCCTTAAATGATCTTCAACTGCGCCGAATATCATACATGTTAAACATGTAATACATGTATCGTTTGACTGACTTTATAATACATGTATCAAATAGATTACCTTTTAATATAAATATTATATAGTCTACTTTTCATTACTTGTATTATTTTCGTTATATGTACTTATAGAAAGGCGTAGTATAGTATTAGTTAGCAGTTTTATAAATAGACCTGTAAGATGACCTTGAGTCAACAGAGTTCGATCGGATAGTTTTCTGAATAAGACTTTGGACTAGACTTATAACTCTACGGTTTAATAAAGTTACTATTTTACACTTTCAACCTTCTTCTTGTCTTCATCATAGGATTGATCGTGATAACCTATTACACAAGTGAATCGTGATAATAAATTGTTTTGTTTGTTAATCGTTATTTTCTCTTAGGAAAGGCCTTTGAGAATTTATTAGTTTTGTTAGCTTGGTTTGAGACGATTCCAGGTCTAACAACGGTAATCTCTATATAATAACAATAAAAATGATAATAAAATAAATAACTTTATATATTATAATTACAATAACCGGGTTTGATTTTTAAATAAAGATATCTTTTTTTTTTGATCTGTTTTATACAGCCATATTATAAAATCTTTGAAAGTAACGAAACTAGTGCAGTTATTGCTTTCCATACTTGTATCACGAAGTTCTGTAACTTTAAATTTGATGGTTTAACTTTCCATACTTGTATCACGAAGTTCTGTAACTTTAAATTTGATGGTTTAAAATTTTTTTTAATATATTTCTTTGTTTATATAAAAAAGTATCAAAAAATTTTACGAAGACTACCATATCAAATTGAGAAAAGCAATTGTTCTTGCTTGAAAAAAGAATGTGAGAAAAAAATTCTGAAAAAAAATTATTCAGGGGAGATATTATGTTTATCAAGTCGACAAGACAGACAGATAATTTGACAGCTGCGCCACATTTCGGCGTAAACTGTCACACATTTCAGTCCTGCTTTGCTGTGCAAAAAAGGTATAAATTTACTTAGTAAAAGTTTCACAAGAAGTCGTCTTGTCATCTTTATTTATTATTGATGAATTAAACTCGGTAATTTTTTTCAAAATGAAGTTAATGAAATTTAAAAATTTTATAATTTTAACAATCATTTCATTGATAATATTGCCAATAAGTTCACAAAATCTTTTTACATATGATGACATTCCAATTTTAAACGCCAGCAACAGTACGCCCACTATATATAAAATAATTAGTTACGATGATAACACGATAGTCGTTCACATTTTTCGTCCAGATTTATCATACAAACAAGAAGATGGCAAACTTTGGGTCGATAAATACTTGTCATTTCGCACGATTTATCCTGATGGAACAGTTGTACCAGTTGATATTTCGTTGGATATACAAGATTTCAATTATTGCCTTTTGGACGTTAACGGAATTCTTACAAGCGCTATTGAAATTTTTCCTGTAAAAAGTAAATTTTTGCTAGTAACTTATGCGGAAGTCACTTTTGATGATCCATTTACTATTAATGAACGGGCGATGGTTGTTGATTTCAATGGAAAGATTTACGGGTTAGAAAAATTCAATTTTATATATTAACTAAAAAATTAAGAGTTTATGTAAACATTTACTATTTTTTTGTTTTTTCATTTTTTAGTAACATTGCATTTGAACCTGCATATGTTAATGTTTCTGCTAAACAATGGTTACTTAGCCGAGCTGAAATTTTCGTGAATTTTAATCCTGACAGGGGATTTCTCCGGTTGTCACCTATTACAAATACTACCGATTATATCTGGCAGCTATACATATTGTAATGAATCTTTTTAAATAAATTTTAAATTTAATTTTGAAAATTAAATTTAATCTATAACTTTCTTTTTTTAATAAAGAACTGATGAGGGAAATATCCAAATACTTGTGCAAGACTTCTTAAGTTTTTCAAACTCTAATAACCTGATAGTTACGGCCGTTCCAATGGTGGATGAAGGTTTCGCAATCGTTTATGCTAATTCTACAGTTTCTGGAACAATAATCACGAATCCTTTTACTTCACAAGGAGGAATCTATGCTATAATTTTAGAATATGGCAAAGTAACTAAACGAGAACTAGTTGTACTTTATCAAACCTCAATTCAAGGATTTTTATTTACTAATATTAATTGCGATACTGCTTGCGTAGAACTTAGACAAAGATGTATAGTTACGGCTAAATTTACATTTCGAGATGTTATGAAAACTTTTTATCTAAAGGTAGATTTTCTTTCCTCGGGAGCTGTCTATAATATTAAGCCATTGATGATCGATATCCAACCGATTCCAAAATTTGATCAATACAATATTCGATCATTACCATTTGGAGGTTATTTATTAAGTGGACTAGGAAATGTTGATGATCAAATTGTGGTTTCTGGTTATATATTTAATGAAAACAATGAATATTATTCTTGGGACCTTCCAAATCCTACTGTATCAAACCTTCCAGGCATCTCAACAATCTTGAAAAACAATACTTATGTACTTTCTCATCTGGGAAGAAAGCGAGATTGGACTTTGATTACTAGTGATTTGTACAGATTTGAGAAGGAACGAGGTAAACAATAGAAGCAAAGAAAAAATAAAATTTAATTTTATTAAAAATATAACATTTCAAATTACATATTCTAGATCATGGATATTATAATTTGCATATTGATACCACATTTCCGCGAATTAATGATATTATCTCATCTGATACACGTATATTTACAATAAAATATTATGATAAAGTTGATTTATCGCTTGGTAATATTACAATTTTTCACGATTGTGGGAATAAACATAAACTTCGTCAAATTGTTTCTGGAACAAACAAAAATTATGTAAGCCTAGATAGGGACGAAATTACTGTTAGAGTTTATATAGTTATGTCAATATTAAAACCTGGTGAAAGTTACTATGTTACAATTGATGATGA